TGGTCAAGCAATTCCATAAATATATCTTGAAAATTCGAAAAGTTGGACATTCTCTCTCGTTTTTCTTCCTCAAAATAACAAAAAAAAATCCGATATAACCCAACCAAACGCTGCTGCACCTACACAAATACATGTGTAGAAGCCAAGTATTGAAACCCTTTTCCTTTAACAAGTTGCATTTCTTCTTGTGCACTAAAGTCGTATAAGTTGGACTTTGGGCACACATAGAAAATACGGTTTTATACTCTTATTTTTTCTCCCTTTTCTTGGGTTTACTCAGACTTCGGAGCCACGGACACGGACCACAGATTGGATTAAATTGGATGTAGGAAGTTAGTTGGATGGGGTTGGGATGTGTGTAATGTGTAATGTTGATAATAATACGTCTTGAGTCTTTCCCTCTGTGTCTTTTCCACTTTTGTTGTTTTTCTTCTTCAGTTGACTTTGCTTAACATTTTTACTCCTCCGTATACACATTGTTCAAGGAGGAGAGGATGGACTTCTCTTTGTCTGTGCGGTTGTTGGAGGAGTTTTCACTTTTTGCTGGTTTTATTTCCTTTAACAACGACTTCTTCCTTCGGTTGAGGATGTTTCAAGAACGAGGAGGGAAAGCGGATGTAAAAAGAACATGCTCTGCTAGCTGCTTGCGTTGGAAAATGTAATTCATTGCAAACTTACTTCATCTCGCAGTGCAATTGAAAGTGATGCACCGCGCACCACTACAAACTACAAAGAAGAACGGAACGTTCTGTCCCATTGGACTGTGGGGGTTTACGTTGCAGTTCACTGGGTTTGGATTATGGAGGAGCTATTGTTGTGTTTTTTTTTCGCTTAAATCAAATAGATTGCATTCGAGCAAATAGATATTGTTGTTTATGAGAAAAAGAATCGTGATTCAATTGAGGTTCAAGTTTAGAAGAGCAGAATTCGGATTGGAATAAGGGGACGTAAATATCGCATTAATTGAGATGACTCAATTTTTCGTAGGTATTTAAAAGAAACTAAATTTTGCGCGATATTGTATAACTTTCCACCAACAAGCCGTGTCAATTAAGCGACTGCGAGAAAGTGGTGAAGGTGGCCGAGAGGTCATGATATCTTTTCCATTTCATTAGTCGAGCATTGAGGAAAAGTTGCCTCGAGACGATTTCTCTTTTCTCCGCGAAATCGGGCTTCATCTTCTTCCTTCACGTTCATTTCATTGCTTCAGTCATGGCTTCTGCTTTTCTGACAAAGACATCCTTCAACCAACGGCACAATTTCGGAGCAGTTTAGTTTCTACATTCTGCAAAATGACTTCCTCTATCCCCAAATGAGCATTAGGCCAAAAAAACTACCACGTAGTTTCACAAGACCAACTTTTATTTCTTTTGGTGGCACTTTCTCAGACTTCTCTCAAATAAATGTCTCCGTTCCTCCACATTACCTACATTCCGAGTTATATAGCGAAATACAAGGAGGTGTCTACAGATATAATTTTTGTTCAACTAGTCTCTCCTCCATCCACGGGCAACAACCTTGGGTAAGAAAGTTTTTCGAGCCATACTCCAGTCTTGGCCCTGTAAAAAGCAACCCACAACAAGTAACGACACAACATTTCTTCTACCTTTTCTCTACACGTGGGGGTGATGGGGAATATCTAATATCCCCATAAAATGAGATTCTATCCCGTCGTCCACTTGCTTACCAACCAATGCCGTCTATTTATAGCACTCTCATTTTATAAATCACCTTGTTTCTCAAGACAGACGAATAAACTAAACAGAGTCCATCGTACATTGGCTGGGACAATTTTTCTTGCCGATGGACAGACAGACACCTCATCAGCAACCAAGAAGGTACGCGAACGAGTAGCCGAATAAAATCTCTAACCATATCCTGTATTTATAAATAAAAATGCGTTTTTTCCCCGTGTACCATGTACTCGAGACCAATGTGGCAATCGACATTACGTACGACATAAAAACCATGCGGCTCGTTAATACTCTTTTATGTCTACTTCTGAAAGCACTTTGACTCTACTTTTTTTTCACGGTGCAAGTTCCCGTGGCGAGAGAATAGACGGACAAGGTAAAACATTGAATTGCCAACTCATTTTATTTCATTTTATGTTTTCTGTTTACACATGCTTGACAATTCATAATGGTGATTTGATTAGGATGATGGGGCAGATTTAGGCACATTACTACGTACGTAAAGTCACTCCAGTGTGGACAGAAAGGGCTGATGACTTTTGATACGAATGTGCATGCATGTACTCGTTGTCAATTGGTGATTTGTTGGATGGACAAATGTTGTCATCTCATTGTCAAACAAGACTTATATGGTGGAGTGTGCAGAGAATTTTACTTGTTCTTTCTGAATGAAATGCAGTTTTATGACAGCAACAATAATTTGTTTGTTGTTCGTTTAGCTGTAAAACCGCAGGAATCATAATGACTGCACACTTTTGGAAAAATACATTTTAAATTTTATTTACACACATAGTTGAAACAAATTAATGAAAGTAATTGGGAACCCATGAAGCCATGCAGTTTTTTCTAAACTCCGCAGCATGTTCCACATTTAGAATACATTTAAGTACATAACTAAGTTTGTATTTCGGTCCAATTTGTAGCTCAATCAATCATCTTCTTGCTCTAAATATGACCATTTGAGTGACTCCAAGACGTAACTTTGCTCATTGCGGCAACTTCCAGAGAGAAGACGCGAAATGAAAGAGCATGTGTAATTATGAAAAATTTAAACACAAAATGGATCCGTTCCTGGAAGAAGAGAGAGAACCCGTCTCATTGCCTTGGACTTGAGATTGTCTTTGATGTCGACATTTGATGTTGGTAAGCTTGTTGATGGCAGCGTGGTTTGTGGGAAAATATCTTAAATAAAAGGAGCACAAACTCATAACAAGTTTCCACTTTTATTACAAATGTCACTCAAAATAACTTGAAGAACGTATATATGAAAGCTTTTCTATCCATGGGCTACTTAATTTTTTGGCAATTCCGACCCTGCTGTTCAGTTTTAAGTAAGTATACATGTATATATTTACATATATGTACAAAACAGCAGGAAAACATTTCCAGGAAATTTGCACAAAGTGAATTTTGATTACATTCGTGTCTACTACGAAAAAGGGGGAGGAAACGGATTGAAATTTTCTAATTTAAATTTCGCCATCAATTTACCACCATTTTAGAACTTTCTCTCTCCATTATAATAGGATAAGAGTTTGTCATTACGTAAAAGAATTTCCATTCAAACTGAACTAATTAAAGTAAATATAGAAGCAAGCAGCGTACTTTTCACGTATCCTTTTCCGCGCATCAAAGTCAACTCATCAAAAACCCGTATTATTCTCGGACGGACGCGCCGGCAAGGGAAATTAAAGCCTTTAAATTGTAATTTAACCACTACTCAAATTAATTCGGTCCTTGTCTTCCTTTGATGTGATGATGCGTGAGGGCAAATTGTGTAACAGGATTGTAAATAATTCAACGACTCGCGAGCGACTTTTGGAAGAAAAGAAAGAGTACCGAAATTACTAAACTCTTCACTTTCTCCTTCAACGGCTCGTCGTCGTCGTCATTCGAACGGGCGTTACGACGACAAGGGGACACGATAACCAACCAAAAACCACAAGCATCAGAGAAGAGACGACATGCATACATAGACTCGAAGTTAGAGTGCACTCATCACATTTTTTATTTTCCTTTGCCAAGAGGAAGGACAAAGCGAGGGAATTATCTGTGGTGGCTAAAGCTACATACGGCACAAAATAATAATGGGACAAAGTAATTGTGGTGCAGCGCAGCATGACTTGCTTGACATCCAACTCGGAAGATCAAGACGAGAAAGGAAACAAGACGTAAATTCATTAAGACCAAACTATTCATGGAGAAAGTCTCGGGAAATGAGAGGAGCGAGACAGAACAGAATTGTGAGGATTTTTGATGGGATTGTCTGCTAAACGAAAGTCCAGCAGCAGCCACACTTTCCACTTTCTCGAGGATGTTCTGACAATCGTTTCCGCCGCTTCGAGAAAAGAAAATATTCCATCAAAGGAAAATATACGTGACCGATTCACCGATGAGTTGAATCGATAGAGTCAGAAATGCTGCTGCTGTTGTTGTGCTGGACATGACATGACATGAAGGACTTGGCCTTCACGTTCGAGTCGACAACCACGATAGTAAATGACCTATGCAGTTTCCGTCTCTTCTAAGCGATCAGTGGCTGCGGAAGCTTGAGGGGACAGAGGGACAATGTCCCCACGGTTGTTCGATGTCCCCATCATCTGCCCATGTTATACAAACCCCTCCCTCCCCTATCCTACAGTGTTAATGTCCCCAGATGTCCCCACGGCTTCCACCGCCACTGTAGAAGATGGAGTTTGGTCATGTTGTTTTTATTATTAAGTTGTGACCACGGCAAAGAATGCATTGCAATAGTTGCGGCTTGTTAGCTTGACTTGTCGAAGTTGATGCCAAAGGTCGTAAATGAAATCAAGGCCAACATGCTTGTAGTCATACATATGTAGAGAAAATGGCAGCATGTACTTAATATTGATGAGAATCTGCAAATAGTAATAAACTAATTCCCGAAACCGGCGTTATCAGACGTACTTAATTAAGAATATCTATGTACATATGGCGAAATTAACTACTTTTATAATTTGAGCATACTTGCTGCAATTTGTTTCAGCGGATGCTGAAGACTTTCCGCCGTAACCTTTTCGGATTAATTAAATCGCCAAATTACTCTGAAAAGAATTTAAAGAATTCGCAGTACCAGCTCGTTTCAGAATAGTTTCGTAATTTATATAGACCGTACTTTAAGCGGATGAATCGGCATTTCAAATTAGTAGGGATGTAAGTAAGCTGCACGGCTCGTTAGGCAAACGAGACTCTTGTTAGGATGGATTGGAAAGAACAAAAAATAGGAACGTAAAATAAGAAAAAGCTGCAAATTATCCACTAATGATGACTGAATGACGAGTCTGATGATGTTTAAATCCTTCAAAAATCCTTTATAAATAAATTTGACTCCAGCATATGTACACCAAGTCACGTTTACATACGTCCTACGCAATTTCAGTGATATTTTCAGGTAAAATTATTATAAAATTATTGTAAAAATCGAAAATTACTAAAAAATTGTTAAAAAATTGTTAGCTTGAGTTGAATATATTAACAATTAATGTTTTTTGGGGACCGTTTTTATCTATAAAACTTATTTATCCAGAGAAAAATCTAATATTTTTTTATAACTTTTTGTGTAATTTTCCACTCCTTGTGGGCACAAGATCACTTCTCTGTTTTTTTCTCAGCTTTATACAATGCTGACCGAACTGTATCAGTAACTTTACAAAAATTGACTGTTTGCCTTAAGGTTGTATTTCCTGCATAATATTTTCCCACTTTCCTTTACATATTATCGCTTTCAAGTTTTCGTTTTCAGCAGCAGCAGCGTGATGAAGGAAAGAATTGCATAATTCGGAAAAACGTCAGGTGTCAAACCAAGAAGGTGGATGGATACTGCCCAAGGCTCAAGTTTTCTTTGGAAAATGAGATGAATGTGAAATGTGGAAAAGTTGGCTCATTTTGACAGTTCCTTTCCATGAAATCCAAAATTTGAGTCTTTCTTGGATACAAATTAGTAGTTTGAAGTATTACGGGTGAAGAATTTTTCCTACATAAGAAAATCAAAAGCAGATACGTTATATTGATCATAAATATTCTTCAAAATTAGAATAGATAATCCTATTTTCGTGAGTTATATCCAATAATCTCCAATGTTTCCTGATTTTCTTTTTATCAATTTTCCCCCTTGGATTCAATAGACCTCATTACTTTAACAATTGTTAAACAAAGTAGCTGAAATGGGAGCTGGTCTCAATTTACAAATTCCACTGATTTACAGATCAGACAGACGATGGCGAGTTGCCGATTGTTCCATCTCCTTAAAAATATTAAGAACAAAATCCATCATAATAAATATATTTAATTCGAACTTAACCAATCCATCCATCCATCGCATCCCATTATCAACATCATAATCATCTCGTTAAGCGATGGACGGACGTCAAAAATTTTTGAACTTTGACTTCCATTTGTACATATATTTTTAGAAATTGTTGTACCTCAAAATTACTCCACTTTACATCACTTCCTTCCTTTCGGCTCTTTTTTCTATTTTATTGGTCTTCTCCTCTTTCGGGCATGTGAAATGGGGTTGGATGAGCCCAATTATCATTTGCGAGTAGACAATTGCCCAGCCTTTGAGGAAAATTTACCCGTCAACATTCTGTCTTCTCATAATTTGTACCAACACAACAAGGGGTTCCTGCAGCGTTTTATGTACAATTAACACTGTCATACCATCCCACATTCAGAAATACGTATATACCTGACTTTCCCAAAGGTTTTACTCAAAATCCTGATAAATTTTCAAAGTCGCCAAACCAATTAAAAACTGAATTGCACATGTGTCTGGTTGCATGACCAATTCAATTTTATAATGGACTCATCCAGGGTGGTCACTCACGATGGAAATTATCCACTTAATTCTCAAAAACCCCCGAGTCAACGTACATACATAAGTAATTTCATATGAAAAGTTTGGCCAGCATTAAGTGCACGCGTATAACTTGAGAGAAAATACAAAAAACCAGCCAAGTAACTAAATACATACATGCGCATCATCTTAAAAATATGAGACGGCGACGACGACGTACCAAAATTCAGCTACAATTAAGATCTATTAGGTTGTAAAAACTCGCAAGGATTTATAAAAATTGAGTGTTGTAAAACCAAGAATAAAATGGCTTGGTTTTCTCTCCCTCGTTGGGTTGATGCACTTCATATACATAAATATTACGCGTATCTTAAGCAATTTTGAGCTCGTAAATAAATGGTGATGGTATAGTGATCAAGCTTAAGCAAGATCTTAAGTACTGCAATCAAGTCATTTAATTTATAATCAGTGTTGTGTGACTTGATGTGATCTAAATTTCGTTGAAGAGCTGTGGCTGGCTGGCTGCTGGATAAAATAATGGAATCGACCTCACGAACGAGGCAGTACTACGATCAATCTTGAAAATTGCTTTATTGCACTTTGTCCAAGTTTTAAAGATTTTAGATGCACTTAAATTGTTTGAGGCTTGTTAGCAGAACGTGGTTGGTTGGGGTGTACCCGAAGCTATATGTATGATGAGGTAATAGTGCACTTACTTACACTTTCATAAATGTGGATGGATCGCTATAGGTAATAAGTTACTTGGTCGGTAGTAACGTTGTCTTATTCTACAACAGCGTGTCTAACAATTTAGCAAAGTGACTTTTGGGTGGTATTTTACAACTTTGTTAATAACACAGATAATCGGCCACGTTGTTGGAAAGAGAGCATTAGAATAAGTAAAACCGGTAATCGTAAATAGGTGAGAAATAGGAACAATTTATTTGAAAATAAAAAATATTACTTAAACCCCAACTTCACAACTTCAAACGTTTAAATATAAATTACCACTATAAAATTGATGAAATTCTATTACAAAGTAAATCCTAAAATATAACGCTTGTCACCTTAAAAAATGCCTTTCTTACATAATGCAAATTATTTTGGCGAATAGATTCATGAAGTGGTTTGTTTTGGCAAATTACGACTCATCACAATAAATCACTTGAATTTATCCACTTACTTTCCCATGGCCTACATTTCACACAGGTTTCTCCAGAAAATAAAAATAGGAAATCAATCTCCCCATCTAATCTGCATCTGTACAACTCAACCCGTGAGTAATCTCACCGTTTTGTTTGGCTTTCCCAACGAAACCTTTTCGCAAAAACAAGCCATTTCCCAATCCCATCCCAACCACTTTGCCTTGATGATAAGTGCCAATCAGAGCAGTGATCTAATCGATAATGAAGATCTAAATCCGAGAAATTCGGCATATATGAATAAGCACCAGTCTCTGCGGCATTATAAATAATATACAACCGTGAAATTAATCCCTCTTCCACGCCAACCGGCTTTGATTCTAAGTCGTTCCCACACAACAACTACCAAACCAACCCACTTTTTACTACTGGTTGGTGTGGGTCGGTCGGTCCAGAAAGTTTTTAATGCCCAAAGCCGCCTAATACGTAAATTAGAGCGGACTCCCATGACCAGAGTCGGAGAATTAGTAGAGCGGATAAAGTCACACTTTAACCCTTCTTCTGATAATGAGAACGAGTAATATGCGTCGTCCAGCTGAGTTAATGAGGGTCGTAGATCGTCGCGTCGTGAATCTGATGGTTTGGCTTGGTCGCCTGCCCAACCTGCTCGGACTGCATGCGTCGTCGTCCTGTGGTTAAATATGTTGGACTATCTCTTTAAAATCACGCCGCAGAAGCAGATTGTACTTATAAATGCGTCGGATGGCCAGGGGAAAGTGGATCCTGGAACGATCTATCATCCTCTCAGAGTTTGTAGTTCATTTCATGTTCGGATTCATGAGATAAAACAAATGAAAATGGTAAAAAGTTGGGGGTTATTTCCGAGTGGGGGGAATTTCCAGGATGGTGCCCTTTGTATTTGAAAAGGGAAATGCACATATCGTTTTTGCCATGTTTGCATAGAAAGTTGCAAACTAAATAGGTCTGAAGTTCTGCTATTTTTCCATATGAAATGACCAGGATTCATGCACATATTTTGTTCCCTGGTACGTACAAGGCTGCATAATGACTCCTCATTAATCTGACGTCCCGTCACTTTCATTACGGCATCTATTTCTTTCTTTCCACAATTATTGTACAGCCTTTCGTCTGACCCTGGCCTTGTTTCGTTTCATTAATCTACATCTGCATTAATCTTCGCAGTCGCCGGTAATTTATATGAACCAAGTCCTCCTCACCGCCACTGGTACGACCTGGATAGTGAAAAAGGGTGGCTGTTCTCTTACATAATGAAATATTCGCTTCATTTATTTATTCATTTGCTTTACATTCTGATTTGGATCTGGGCAGACTTAATGAGCACCCAACAGTGAAACAACTAATGACTTTGGTGTACATTTTTTAAACCGAATGTGGTCGCTTCCTCTCGAGATTATTTATTCATAGTGGTAAAAAGTGTTTTTTTGGTAAAATTGTATAATTATTCAAAGTCATATGTCCAAATCAATGAACCTCTCTTTAATTCTGAAAGTTTGATCCATTTCCATCTACAAATTCAAATAATATGAATCAAGTTCACACTTCTTCAACCCTCTCATTCCATCCAGGCATCATTTCTCCTCCACTACGTTCATACATGGTCGGGTTTGTTACGCTATTAGCTGTTAAAGTAATTATAAAATCGTGTCAAAATGCGTGCATAGCATAATGTCAGTCTGCTGCTGCTGCCTTTCCTTTTTCAGTGCGACTCAACCCTTTCCGACTTCACTTTAAGTTTTTGCTTTGACGAATTGTGGAGGAACCCTGCCACGCAACAAACCAAATTCTGACTGTACGTACAGAAGTCAAAGGGAGTCAGCAGTTCATAATGATAACAAACCATTATTAAAAACAACACAAAACCCAATGTATGTAAAGTGTCAACTGTTTTGAAGGGACGGCACGAAACAAAACACAAAAAACATTTTAAACATATGCAAGGGGTCCAAGTTGCATAATGGGCATGGTGATGAAGTATGTAGCATCATATTTATATGGAAGTACGTCATGGTGTAAAAAGGGCAGGAATAAGGGTTCCGGCACAGAACAGACCTCCGGGTAGCATTTGCTTGCTTATGCTTTTTAATGATTCTGAAATAAGTTTTTCTATGTATGTCTGGTCGGGAAACATTTGAATAAAAAATTGGAAGGGATTGTTTTCAATTTTTGAGGGCATAAGTTTTTCTGCATGTTTTTATTTAGAATTTTCCGTCAGTTTTTGTCAGTTTCGAATATCCAGTGCTGTGCATGGCATGGCTGTGTGTGTTGATTTGGCCTGACTTAACCCATCCAGCAACATTCATTACGATTTCTTTCCAGACAATTGGCTTGCTCTGTTAACTGTTAACTCTGCTTAATTGTGTAGAAGCTGCCAGATTTCAGTTGCCCGAATTTCCTCCATTTCCGATTCTAACAAATGAATGGGCGGAATGTTCGTACTTATCAGTTTGACTTACTAACCGCGTTCGCATGTACATATCGTCGTAGTAGCAACAGCAGATTGTTTGAGCCAGTGGTACGTAAGTAGTCGTATGGAAGTTTTGACGGGCTAAAAGTTGTTGGTATACACATTCAGAAGCGAAGAATAGTTTACTTGGTGGCCTTTAGTTTTAGTAAATACGTCTCATTTTTCATCTTCATGGTGGGATCTGCAATTGGTCTTACAACTAAAAATGTTTGGTAACCTTTGAAAACCCATAAATTTTAAAATAGATCCATAATGTCGAGACCTTTGATATTTTCATAAGCACAATTAGCCACATTTTATACGCTTTCAGCGAAAGTTAAATGTTTACTCAATTTCTCAAAATATCCATTTACCCTCTGATGACAGAAATTATTAACACTTTTCTCATGCTTTTCCGACCGAAGTGTGTACTTTCATTTAACTTTACTACACACTGATTCATTTCAAATGTTAAACAAACTTAAAAGAATATGGTGACGTACGTACGTATCGAGAGTTGCTTTCAATTCGAGTTTGTTAAGCTATACCCACCCGAAGTTTATGTGTTTTTCACGCTTTGAAAATTAAATATTTCAGCATGTTTTGAACTACGTGTGTAAAAAGTAGGCATCTGTAAACGTAGCTAAAAAGTTCAACGTGGGAGAAAAATGGCATTAAATTGTCAATTTCCCTCTTATCAGACCAAACTGAAATTTTATTGGTCCATGAGATATTTTATATGCTAGTTAGATAAGCTATGCATATATGCACACCTCCTACGCACAGCCTACCTCAACTGATTTGAGGAGCCATCAATCTAATTGGAAAGGTCAGTATTCAACAGGTTCGGAGGATACACTTTATTAAAAAAATATAACTTTTTCGAAAATATGTTCCCATTTCGAAATAAATGATAAATTAAGCTTACCGACCTGTTCAAAATATTTAATACCTTTCCACAAATAACATCCTCCTCAAACCCCTGAAACACCTGCCATTCCCGAAAACACGAATTTAAACCCACCTCAAAACCCGATGACAAAAGCCTCACTTCCCGTTCACCGATAAGACATATAAAATATGAAGGATTTAATTTCAGCCTTGCTCAAAGACTCACAGAGTCGGAAAGGTATTTAACTTTCTCATCAAATTGCGCTTTCACTCCTTTCTCTTGCAGCTGCTGCTTCTGCTGTCCTCGCCTCTCTTCATTCATTCATTCATTCACTTGCATGCGTGCATTCGTTCTTCTTCACTCACCAAACTTTTTAGTCATCACAGCCTCCTCCTCCGATGCATTTGTGTGGGGACACGTGGCTGCACATCCTTGTGAATCTTTCATCGTTTCATTTCATTCCCCCATCATTTGTACAAAGTCCGTGGAGAAATCTCTTCATCCCGACCATTACATTATGACGATGACTAGAACGGAGAATGGTGATCAAACACCAAGAGGCAAAAAGCCATTGGGGATATTTTAAATCTAAGTATGAGGGGTCCCACCCAATGTGGAAGAAGAGATTCAATAATTAAAATTTTAAATTATTATGAAAAGCTACCTTTCATGCAATAAATTACAATGTCAAACCAATAGCAAAGTATATTCACGGAATACATTCATTTATGTTTCAACGTACGCAGTCAAGAAGGAAAAAGTCAAGAAAAATGTCAGTGCATAATTAAATCAATAGAACAATGGGTGGGTGAGTTGTACCTATAGAAAAGATTTAATAATTATTATAGGCAATGCTTTCATACAATAATTGTAAAATATAAGTGACAAAGTCATACCGGGTTGCATCCCGTGGAAGAAAGTAACCATTCCCGGTTGGGTGACGACCTGGGTGGTGACCGCCCCAGGGTCAAACCCATACTCTTCCTGGAACTCGAACCTCATTTCCAACTTTTTATCCGTCCCAGGGAAGGGGTTGTTGTAGTCGGCGATGTGGAGGTCTATCGCGGCAGCAGAGAAAGCCATCCATCGTTGGGTCTTCGGATCCATTAAATCCAGGCATTGCCTGGCCACCTCATTAAGGTAGCCGACAACACCGTTAAGAAGCTGGATACTCTCGAGGGGTTTGAAGGTCCCCATGGCCTTAATCATCCAACGAAGATACCATTTGATCTTCTTTGCCGCAAGTTCCGTCTCCCCGTACAGGCCCAGCTTGATTGAACCGTTGGGACGGATTCGCAAATTGTTCTCTCGAACGAAGAGTCTGGAAAAAATAAATAATAATTATTTAATTGGCATTGCCAGAAATAATATTATGTAAATATAGATATCAAAAGTATATAAGAAATACCGGAAGCTGCAAGCGATATTAGTTCCATTCATGATGGAGTCGTAGATTACTTGTGCTGCCTCGTTCGCGTCGTCACTAGCAGTGATGCAGACAGATGTTCCCATCAGCTGGCCCATTGGATTCTCCCAAAAGGTTAAATATACCTTCCACATCCCACCTACAAATAAATATCACAATTAATTAATAGGCATTGCCTCTTTTTAATTATAGTAGAAAATACTTACATATATTATCTTCCTTCGTCACCTCACGCCAAGTCATCCTCTCCCCGGCTCTTGTTTTCGTCCAAGTGAAAACTCGAGGGAGAGTGTTACGAGACGGCATTGCCGGGGGACGAATGTTCAATAATAGTGGGGGGCCTCTTTGCCGTCGATCTGAGAACCACAACTGAAAACAAATATACATAATTCGTTAATAATGAATTTGAAAATTACTGGCAATGCCATAAAAGTAAATCCTTACTCTCAATTTTGTCCTGGTGAAGCCAACTAGGCCAAGCAGACGGGCTTTCTCATCAGGGTCAGGGTTGGGACCATTCTGGAACGACGCCTCCAAGATGGTAAGCTGCTGTGGGGAATATTGCTTGTTACTTGGGCGGCCACTGGCAGGTTTAGTTAACCTATGTGTGAACCAATTCTAAACACCCCACAGTTAAAGATCAAATTATTGTTATTTGGCGGACATTGTCCTTAAGAAATGTTTATTTACTCACCCGTAGTTGTTTTGGGGTCTTCGGTGGATCAGCAGGCGATGCCTTATTTAAAAGCACGACCAATTCGTTTCGCCGTTTCATTTTGGGGCTCTTGTTTTTCTTAAATTCCTCTTCAAGGATTTCCAAGTCGGTGGCGGAAAAAAAAGCCCGATTTGTAGGGATTGTATATTGTCTCCTTGGCTTTTCCACTTCCTCCTCCCCCTCCGATGATGATGAGGATCGAGATGGAGATCGATCCCGTCGAGACCTCCGCGGCTTCTTCCCACCGTCGTCACTCTCATCTTGACGGGTCCTTTTCCGGCTAGGCCGTCCTTCCCCACCTGACGGAATATCCTCGTCGTCTCCCTCCCCACCACTCACCTCCCCCTCGGTCCCTCCTGCCTCCTCTCCCTCAGACTCCCCACCATCGTCACCCGTTTCCTCTTCTCCCTCCTCCCCCTCGTCGTCATTCCCCGACGCCAACTTCTCCAACAAGTTCTTCACGGCCCTCCTAGCCCGCCGAGCAGACTTTCGGCTCGGCCTGCCCCCCGAGACCATCATCGACTTCATCGTAACAGCAGGATCTGGTAAAAAAAATAATTAGTTATATTGAGGCAATACCTATAAAATTGTATTTTGCACAATAATTTACCTTGTAACAATCGAAGATTGTGAAAATCTGTTCCGTAGATAATGTAATGGCCCTTAAAATGGCCGTTGGGTTTAAAAACGCAAAAAATCGAATTAAAATTGATTTTGAATAAAAACTGTAGGTGAGAGATAATATTATGCAGATATTATTATATTATGAATATTATATGTGATCGATTTGTGAATGTCTGCTGAACGTTGCGTGCTAGCAAGAAATGAATGAAGGAAAAAAGCATCTCATATTGCCCCTTCACGCGAGTACATAAAAGTCATCCTCATTACTGAGTTCACAGTTCCAACTTTACTAAATTTTTATTTTGTTGATTTTTTTTACATTTAATTAAAATTTTCTGCTCCTTTACTCCCTCATTCGTTCGTTCCCCTCAACGCGACGAGTCTGGTTCAATATTTAACAATTTAACTCTTTGGGGACCATACGGTGTTCTTCTTCTGCTGCTGCATCACGATCACATCACATCGCATTATTACGGATGCAGTCCAACACAGTAAATAAATAGCAGGGAATTGCAGTGCGAGGGACTGAGGGCTATTTACGCAATATGAAGTTGAACAAATACTGATTTCAGGCCAGGCTTCTTCTCTGGTGCAATATGCTCCGTTCCGGTTCATATATCTTGAAAAATCCGTGTTGTTGACTCATTTATCTTTTGAAATGCGGGGTGTGTGAGTCCAACTTTCCGTAGCAGAAAGTAATTTAGCCTTAGCTGACTGATTCTGCTGGTTACGTTACATTAGTATCTTTCTCCTTGTATGTGAAAGAGTTTAATTTTCATCATTTTCATTCCACTAATTTCATCTGCGTCAATAATCACCGTGAAGAATTTGGCATCTGCGTCGGTGGGTGTGCCGGGTTCAGTGCTAAGTATGTGATACAAGACGTGACAAGGCGCGTTGTATGTAAACATGTATCAGGTCACCAAAAAGGGTTGAATTGCCCTCTTCTTCTCCTTTATGCGACCCTCCTACATAGTTTCTGGAATTGGAATGAAGTCTCAAATTTCAAATTCCTTCCAGAAATTCGAATTCCGTGAAAATTAAGCCGGTCTAATTGCACATTGACGACATAGTGCATAAGGGAGAGCCAACTTAGTATCGTTGTACGGTACGGATCCCTCCCAGTTTCAAAATTCAAATGTCTAATTCTGCATCCATCTAATGGCAAAGGGAAAATTTCTTGTGACAAATTATGAACCCGGCTTGTTTAATTGTTGTTCTTATTGCGTGGAGAAGATGATGCGAAGGGGAGCGTTGAAGAGTAGTTTTGTGCAAATTAGGTATTAGGTCCGGCTTACTTGGCGACGAGGTTCTCATGGGACGGCGAATGCATAAAGCTGCTGACTTCACAACCAACGCACCACAATTCCTGTGATGTTACGAGATTCGGGAATTTCTTGGCTACTATGAATTTACATAGAATATTTTGTCCGCTTTATAAAATTTCACAATTTGACAATACAAAGAATGTGTGGAAAGTAACTGAATTGCACTCAAACCAGTAAGTTTTATTTTCTAACGAGATTTAACGACGTATGTAGTCAAACATACATAGATTGAAGAAATCCAGAAAAATGTGACGATAAGTACACGTCCACACCCTTATATTCCGTCCGCCTTAAATTAAGCCATACCAAAACAAAGCCATTCAATTTTGACTGAATGAGAAAGTGTAAAGTGAGTGCATGCAATATACAATTCCCTCAAGTGAGTCGCCTCCTAATTCAGAATTCTGTTCAATCCTGTGTACTGAATAATAAGGACCCATAATACACAGCAGTAGTAAAACTACGACAAGTGCTTGCAGGGAATTTGTACTTTTGTAAAGTTCTGATCCCACATCTCCTTTAAATTTGGGAACATTATTCCGAGTGGATCATTCACACATGAAGAAATTTCCAGTTCAGAACTATCAAAATTCTCCACCTGTAATTTAAAAAACAGTACAAAATTATCTCCTAAAATTGACAATGACTCCTTTAAATTGTGGATTTACGTTGAAAGCGTGGTCTGTCCCATCCATCCATTTGTGTATGATTTGAGCCAAGTAGAAATATGTACAAGGGAAGCGTCCCATCTTTGGAGGGTAATTCTCATTCGGATTCGTAATTCGTGAAACTGTCAACCCTACTTACACTCTACGATTCAAAATTACACAATCCTCACTACGACTCTCCTGCCGGTCTTTTATCTCCCCGCATTTCATTTCATTAAATAGAATTGCTTAACGAATTGCACTCGTGGCAGAGCAGAGAGGGTGGGGTGAGAACTGTGTAGTTTTGATGCAACCCTGTTTTATGCACTACTTGCATTTGTACATAGATGCACCAACAGATAGATAGAAGTACATATATATTACGGAAATAAATTCTTCTCCTCCTCCTCCCAGTGACTAATATCTGTAGCTGTAAAGTTTATGTAAATGTTGAACGATACTAACATGCCGTTTCTATCTGGATGATGACGATGAGGAGTGTCGTCGTCGTTAGTCTTGGTTAATGTCATTAGTCCGTTGTAATAAAGGTTGGCTGATACATTTTGTGTGTGGCACTTGTCGTGCTGGCTGCACATACATGCGACACTTGTAAATTCCATTTCCGTATAAACTTGAAAATAAATAATTGATAATTAAGTTTGCGTTTGAGTTGTTATCAGGTTGTTTGAAAGTTATCTGAAACCAAGTAATGGTAATTATTACACTTTGATTACTTCATGATTAACAGGACGTTTGTGGACTCGTAATAGAATCTTTTCCTGGCCACGATTTCAGTTCGAATTTATATAAGTACTAAAACCATTTCGTGAATAGAATTTAACCGAGTTTGTGAATTTCTGTAGATGACAACGTGCGACAAGAAGTGGAGGAGCTAATGCTAATTGCTAAACTGCTGAGACAGCGTACATTTCTTTTTTATGTATTTTACAGTTTTACACCCCACCCAAACTTCTCTACTTACAGAAGGCTGGAGAAGCTAATTAGAGAGCAAAGGAATTTTTTAAGGCGATGGTGTTCTCTTGTCAACTCGTTAGATCTGGTGTCACACCTCTGCCGACAAGTCGTGTTCTTGGAACCTTCATGTGAATGGTTCACATCGGGTCGACTTTTCGCTTGTCTGCTGGATCCGATATGAGCTCATTACAGTGTCGGACAGATGTCTACGTCCACATAGTCGCGTCAATTTCATTTTCAAATTGTCACTGAACTACTGAACCAATTTTCATCATTGATATATCAAATTCTCACAAATTTAACGTAATTTCATAAAACATATGAGTTATTTCTGAAAATTCTGGGAAAACTGAGAATCATAGTGCAGAGCGAGAGAGGATGAAATTTGAGCGGACAAAAGTCTACGTCCACTTCACTTTAATTGTCAACAACAAAAATCTCTCCAATTTATAAAATCAGGTAACTTAATAAATCTATCAATAACATATGCCGCATTAATTTTTAAATAATTTTCTTCCAGAAAAATATGATGGCGTCGACACGCAAGGAAATTCCTATCGCTATTCGAGATCTTGTCATTCAGGACTGGAAGGGTGGACAAAAAGGGGGGCTGTCGCAGAGACAAATAGGGACCAAGTAGAAATTAGGAAGGACAACCATCCAGACAATCATTAAGAACTTTAGAGCTAATGGTTCAGTCCAAAACAAGGTCAGAAGTGGTCGAAAACCGATTTTGGCTCACCGAGAAGTACGCCACGTGCTCAACAAAGTCAACGTTACACCCTCACTTAGTGCTCCAAAGCTATCTACCGAGATCAAGGAGATGTTCGGCAAACAGGTTAGTCCTATGACCATCCAAAGAACACTGAATAAGGGAAATTTGAAATCCCACAGAGCAGTCCGGAAGCCTCTTATTGTACCGAGGAATGCAACCAAACGAGTGAAGTTTGCCAGAGACCACATTTCCAAGCCACAAACATTCTGGGACATATTTTATGGACTGACGAGTCAAAGTTCAATGTCTTTGGGTCAGATGGGCGTCGTAGAGTGTGGAGATATCCAAAAGAAGCTTTGAATCCAAAAAATCTCAACCCCACAGTTAAGCACGGCGGCGGGTCGGTAATGGTGTGGGGATGCATGGCTTCAAGTGGGGCAGGAAAAATGGAATTTGTTGACGGAATTATGGACCAATACAAGTACCAGGGAATACTTGACCGTAATATCCAGGAATCTGTTCGAAAACTTGGACTTGGACGACGATTTGCCTTCCAACAAGACAACGATCCGAAACACTCTGCCACGTCCACCATGGAATACTTCAAGAAAAAAAAATTCCGAAGCTAGAATGGCCTCCCCAATCTCCAGACTTGAATCCCATTGAGCATCTGTGGGACCACATTGAAAGAGAAATAAGAAAAAAATCTTTTTCAGGAATTCCGGGCCTAAAATCCAGAATTCGTGAAGTTTGGGAAACCATTTCTGAAGATGTGACCAAGAATTTGGTAAACTCTATGACTCGACGCCTTGAAGCCGTCCTTAAAGCGAACGGAGGCCCAACCAAATATTAAAAATTAATTGTTATAACATTCCTTATAAATTACAGTTTTTTTTGTATGTTTTCTCTTACTGGACGTTGACTTTTGTCCATCCAATTGTTTTCATTTTGAATTAAAATACATCTCTGGCCTAAAATAAATTTTTTAGCGGAAAACTAATAATGTGCTATGAAATTACGTTAAATTTGTGAGAATTTGATATATCAATGATGAAAATTGGTTCAGTAGTTCAGTGACAATTTGAAAATGAAATTGACGCGACTATGTGGACGTAGACATCTGTCCGACACTGTAGTTCAACCCTGAAAGTTCTTTCTGTTCAATTTTTTTGAAATTTGACCCTATTCTCCGAAAGTAATATTACATTTACTTACCTCGACTCGAGTAGTCTACATGGA